ACAAATAGAGATAAACCGACCAAGAAGGCCGACGATGTTCAGGAATTACAAAGAACGGGCACGCAGACCCAAAAAGTAAAATATGAACGGGCGCGCAGGCCCCAAAACAACCATCAATAAAGGCACACAGACCCTACTAGAATCTCACAGCTAGACTTCCCCGGAGCTATCATCACCGACAACAGGAGACTCGGGCGGGGGAACGACCTGGCCGTCGATGATCTGAGACATGTAACCCACTCCTTCAGTATTCAGATCGGGATTCAACAGGGCGAGCTGGCTAACCGCGGCTTCAAAGCCATCCGCCAAAGCACCGACGCAATCCACCTCGAGGAGTTGAATGCGAGCGACTAGTTTCGACCGACTTTGCAAAGGAGTTGTCTCCTCCGACTCATCCTCGGCAGGGAGCATGGCGGCCTTTAGTTCCTCGACCTCTTTGGCGAGGCGCCCGTTGTCAGCCTCCAAGCGTTCCCGGTCCTTACAGAAGTACTCCCTCTCCTCGGCAATCTTCCCCGAGTTCTCTTTCTCCGCGGCCAGCAGTTCGGCTTGCTCGCGGAACATCTCCTCAGAGTGCTCCAGGGCAGCCTTCAACTTTCGTGAGCTCGCAGTAAGGGCAACTTTCTCCTGTTCCAGCTCCTTGATGCAATCAGAGTCTGCCCCCTCCTCGGCCAGCACAACGGCCATCTCGACCATTTTTACCATCCCGACCATATTGGCAGCCAGATGCTTTCTCCGATTCTCCTTGCTCAGCCGCCTAATGGTATCAGCTTCATCTGCACTTACGGACAAGGGAAATCCATCGAAGAAACCCTCCTCTTTAAAACAGGGGGGCAACCTGAAGGACCTCACCGCACTAGAATCCTCGCCGACCTCCGGTTGGCTCTCCACCTGATTCCTCTTCCTTGGTATTAGGTCGGTATGGGGCTCGACATCCTGAGCGTCCGGGGACCCTCCAGAAACACCGCCCGGGCTAGTTGGCGGGCCCATCCTCGTCGCCTGAGGAGCTCACACCACTCTCTTATTGACTTTCTTATCCTGTGTCAGCTTCAGGAGCCTCTCCTTTCGTCCAGCCATGAGACCTGCATAAAATGACCCCGGGTTAGTGACGAGCAAATAAACAAGCGAAGAAAATCAAACAAAACGAAAAAAGTAAAGACCTAACAGGTTCTTGGCCTGCCCGAAGGACTGGCACTCCACGAGCGCCTTCGTATCGATAGGCCGGTCCTCAAAGGTCGGATAACCATCTTCGTCGAGAATATCCTTTCCCTCCCTCGTGGCCCACCGGGCAGGGAAGAAACTATCGACGTATCTGCATAGGGTACCATAGGCCTCCTCATCTCCGGTACTCATCCCACCCGCGGGCGTATGGTATTGCCCGGTCCCGTGCTCGTAGTGACGCGAGGTCCAATGCAAAGGAAATTTAGCCACACGCCCCAACACCGGGCGTCCCTCGTCGTCTAGAAGAGCCTCCCCGTGATCGTCGGTCACCACCGTTTTTTCCTCGTATACGGACTCTAGACCAGTTTTGGTAACCGGCCGCACGATGTACCATTTGTCCTTGAACCCCCGGACAGAATCCATATACATCCTGAACAGCCTCTTCGACTATTTCAGGGAAACCCAACTGTGCCTACCTCCCCGAGACTGGCACTATAAATGGAATACGCGGAAGAAGAGAGGTATGGTCGCCCCAATCTTTAAAAAGCGACACGTCAGTTCGAACGCTCGGAGGAAAGCGATCGAGTTGGGGTGAAGCTGCGACGGGGCCAGTTCCAGATGACTAAAGACCCCGACCTGAAAATCGCTAAAGGGGAGCTGTAGTCCAAGGTCCTTGAAAGCAATCTCATACATGGGGAACCCGTACTCGGGGAACTCCGAGTAAATCCGCGCGGTAAGAGTCGGTCTGGTGACAACGAAGTTCTTCTAAAAACCGGGCTGACTACCGCCCTGCTCGATGATGGTATACGCACTTCGACTGTGTCGACTATAGGCAGAAGCGATCCCTCTGGGCTCGGCGCCCACCCATTCCAGCAGAGGATCGTCGATGGTATCGACGAAATTCACATTCTCCTCGGCACTTTGGTCCTCCGCCTCAGTGCGCCCCAAGGAACACGGTTCGTCCTCCATTGTTACCTACAAAGCACAGGAAACCGGTCAATTGGGGAGCAAATCCACACGCTCTCCATAACGGACGGGAAGAAGGGCACGACAAACCGAGTCACTCCACGCACGACTAAAAAAGTGGTGTTTCGAACAAAAAGAGTAGGGTCACCTCCCCGACTCCCAGATACCACGACAAGTCTTCCTACAGATCGCCTAAATGGGCCAACATCTTGGCCACTCACGAATATGTCGACCTAGGCTATGAACATGGCGAGCGATACCATAAATCCTAAAACTAGAACTACGAATTTATCGGGCACTATCACGAATTAGGCGCCCTGAATCATGAAGATCTCGGGCAGCACTGCGAGTCAAATACCTAAACTATGCATTTACCGGGCGCAAACGTGCGTTTGCCGGGCATAAACATGGATTTGCCGAGCCAAATACAAATCTACCGGGGCTAATCCCAGACGTACAATCTCTAACGTCTAAAACAATGAAAAATATCATATATCACAGAGGAAAAGCAAAGGGGACAAGACGCTTACTTGAAATCAGGAAAGAGGTGCGACGGCGGAAAAGGGAATCAGCGACGGAGAGCACGGCGGTCCTATGAATATTTGGAAAGAACAGTAGCAGCAGAGGCAGAGGAAGGAGGAGAAGCGCGAAGAGGAAAAACATGTTCTGGGGCCCAAGGACCCTATTTATAGTGATGACGTGGAATACAAAACGTCACCCCGGGGAACCACATACTTCCCTCCTCGACGCATAGCTCCCCTAGGCAATGATGACCCTATCTTCAATAGGGTGGCGGCACAGTTCCCAAGAGATGCCTCGTGTGCTCAACAAACACAGCCCGTCGAGAGTCCACCGAGCACTCCTCGAAAGGAATTATCTCACGGGCGCGACACAGGGGAAACTCCTCGAGTAACCACGGGGAACTACATTTCTTGTCCGGGCACGGGACCCCGCGACGAAGGCGACCTAAGATCAAGTCATGGCTCCTACTCCAGGAACCACGACTTGGGGGGGCTCCTGTTCTGGACTGGGCCGGGCTGGCCCAAAAGCAAGGATGAAGGTCCAATCCAAACGGCCTCGCAGGGGGTCGCGCCGACCAAGAAGCCACAGCCGTGCCCGACACTATCTGCTAGTACGACATCCTCGACTTCATGCAGTCCAGCTCGACCTCAGCTCGAGCGCCCCTTGTAGGGCAGACTATGACCATTACGCCATCACCTGGATTCTAAAAAGACCGCGTCCTCGTCCGTCCGTACTTCTCGCAGAACACCCAGCAAGGAGACTACGTGCGGGTCCCCACTACACACGTAGAACCTGGAAGTTCCTTCATTGGGCCAAACCTACCCGGCCCAATGAAGGGACCTTGGCCCAGCGCTGGGGGCTATAAATACCCTCTGTTCCCAGAGGGTCAGGTATTCATTTCTCTTACCCATACTCATACTTTTTGCCTGCTCGTACTCTCACTCACTTTAGCATCGGAGTGCCTTGCAGGTACCCCCCCCCCCCCCCCCCCCCCCCCAATCTCGTTCAACTTCAGCTCGGAGCCAGTCGTGACGGTCCAAGTCTGATCCGGTAAGATCAGATACTATGTTATGAGACACATGTTAAATATTGCTCCAGAGGCATTAACAATTCATGTGTAAGGTATTAACTTTATTCATATACATGTAATTTTTTTATATTTGTTAAGTTAACGTCGTTGTTCTTGTTGTTATTAACTTATCATAATTTAAATATTGCTCAAATTATAAGGGTTTAACAACGAAACATCATTCTCATAAGAGAATATAGATGATATTTAATTATGTTGGGCCGGTGTCTTCCTATCTTATTATTACTCTCAATCACACTAGTTTTTCTTGGTGGTTGTAAGTATTGTGCATATGTTTTGTCATTATATGTGCAAATATGTATAAGTTCTCTTGGTAAAAGTTTAGTTTATCCAAATGTCATTATAAGTATTAAAGCAATATATTGTAAACAATGTAAATTTTTATATTATGTATAAAATGATCGGATTCTCTCACATAATTTGTAGTTTTTGTGTAAATAAATGATACAGATCAGTCAAAATGAAATTTAAAACAAATGATAAATGACAAAAAAATAGATTATACACATCGGTTATTATATCAAATCGACGTAAATATTGATCTTGTTTCCTCGGTTACTAACAAAAATCGAGAGGTGTGTGACGTGCGCTACATAGTTTTGAAAATAAAAATTTTTGTTGTTGAAGATTGAATCAATGACTATTTCAACTATCACCTCGATTATTAAAATATTGAGAAGTGAAGTGACAAATTTTTATATCGTTCTTCGTTATCTTACTTAGAATCGAGATAATAAATCTTCTTCGCAAGCAAAATAAAATGTGTTTTTTTTAAATTAGTGAGATAGTAAGTCAAATTATTTACATAAACTATTCTAAATAATTTATGAAAATAAACTTAAAATCATTCTTAAAATGTCAAGAATTAATTTTATAAACACTCTAAAACAACATTTATGTGATTACATAAATTCAAATAAATAAATCTACAGGTTCAAATTTGACATGGTGTGTTATTGTGATGTAAGAAACCGCGTTTTCACGCTATCCACTGATCACACAAACCCTACATGAACTAGTCCAATCTTTGAATATACTACATCAAATATTAATCTAGAAATAGCCATGAAAAAATCAAAGTGTGAAAGGTTAAACATGGATTCTGTGTTACGTATAGACACAGAATGATTCACATGGAAGTACAGTCTGTCGTATTCTTCACTTGGAAGCACAAACAAAGAAAAACAATCTATTATATATATTCCTTCAATCTCTTCTCATCTTATATATTCTTTCAGTCTCTGCTCATATAATCTATTTATCTTTATACTCTCTTCTCATATTTCTTCTTTAACAAAAACATACACAACATGGGTTCTGTTGCAATCAAAGTGTTTGTGATATTGGGGTTGTTGACTACCTCATGCATAGCACAACAAGCTCCTGCACCCGCACCTACCCGATCATTATCACCAAATTCAGCACCAGCTCCATCACCCTCCACAAACACATCACCAACACCCTCTCCTGTAATCACTACTTCTCCATCACCCTCTCCTTCATCACCAAGTCCAAGCAATTCTTCTCCACAGGCACCAACCACGAATGACCCAGCATCAAGCCCGGGAGAAGCTGACGCACCCTCGGCTGCATTCTCTATCACTAACACCATCGTTGCCGTTACATCTCTTGCTGGAATCTTTGTCTCCATGGTTTTAGCTTAGATGTGTCAATAAAGATATTTTTTATGTGTGTTTATTGAAGTCTTGTTTGATATTCATTTAATATTTTTTTGTATAAACAATAAAATGTTTTTTTCCTTTCTGAATAAATTAATAAATTGTTTGTGATTGATGATGAGGATTATTATATTATATTAGTGATTTTTTTCTAGGATTCACTCTATTATGATTTTTCTATAAATAAATTCTTCTAGATTGGTTTTAAGGCTGGTCTGAGTTTAATATTATATACTTCTTTTTTTAGAGGTGAGACCATGACATGTCACCACACAGTTAATTTTCAAAATCATATAAAGTTCTCAAAATAATTATCTCATATGAGATTCTAACTTTTGTCCTTTCACCTAAAATATCAAGGTACTTACCATTAGGCTATACAAATTTATTTATTAATTTTTTAAATAATTTATATATATATATATATATATATATATATATATATATATATATATATATATATATATATATATATATATATATATATATATATATATATATATATATATATATATATATATATATATATATATATATATATATATATATATATATATATATATATATATATATATATATATATATATATATATATTATATATTTAGAACATGTAGTATAGTATTTAAAACATATAAACTTAAATGAATTTATCTATTAATCTTCAGAAATTTAGAATCAATTCAACCTAAATAATAGATGAATTAACAAAAAAAAAAAATATTTTCCATCACTTGCTTAATTCAGCCTGAAACGATGGACAAGGCAATGTTGGAGCTGAAAATATCTTGTGTTAGTGGCAGCAAGTTAATAATAAAATTTCTAACATATACCATAAGTCAAAACACTGGATAGTAAATAGATGAATTCATTTAAGATATGTTGCGCGAGTGTATCCTACATCAAGATGCAACAACTTGGATAATTGGGAAACATGTGGTGGAATTTCGCCAAAAAAAATTGACTGAGAAAAATTCAGATATCTTAGTTGTGAAAGCTCGCCTATCTTGGGTGGAATTTGAGAGTAACTAAAGTCATTGTCAGAAAGATCGCGATTTTGAAGGTGTACAAGACGAAAGAGAGTGTTATTTGTATCCATTTTACCATAGAGTTGGCTACTTCTAAGATCAATGAGAACTACTTGATTTGTGTGCTCATAATATTTAATGCCATCCCAAGAGAAGCAATTAGTGTTTGCATTTCAGGATGATGTTTTAGTATAACTGAGAGGATTATAAGAAGCAATCTTATTGATGTTAAAGCCTTTCGTATTTAAGTTTTAAGTTTTGAAAGATTAATAGATGAATTCATTTCAGTTTATATGTTATAAATACTATACTGCATGTTCTAAATATGTACTATATATTAAAAAATTATTTAGAAAATTAATAAATGAATCTGCATAGTCCAGTGGTAAGGGTATTGGTATTTTAAGTGGAAGGGAAAAGGTTTGAGACTCATGTGAGACAACTATTTTGAGGATTTTATGTTTTTGAATTTTAACATTTAACACAAAAACAATAAAGGCTTCATTATTTGAAATAAAAAATAATTATATTAATATTAAAATGACATGGCATTGGCACATAAGCAAAAATTATATCACATCATACAAAAATACACTCAGATTTGAAGGGGGACCAAAGTTCAACGGAAAACTTAAAAATGGACTAAAATAGTGGTTTTTATAATGGAGGGATCAAAATCAAGAAAACAGCTAAATAGGGGGAGCAAAGTTACAATTAAGCCTATCATCTTTTTCATTCAATGTGATAATTATTATTCACATTTGACATACCAACATCTTACTATTCAAAAATCAATTTATATATTACAAAGATTGTTATCCATGGCTTTCAATTTCAAATGCCAGACAAAGAATTGTTATATATGGTTTTAAATTTCAAACGACATACAATTGTATTATTGTTGATATGGTAGTTGTTGGAAATTACATCAAACTTATGGAAAATTTCAATCAATCTTGATGAACAAGATTCAATCAACCCAATCAAAATCCCTTGTTCTTCACGCTTAACTTGAGTGATTCAACCAACCTTGGTTACAAGATAATTCTGCATATCAATTAACAATGAAAGAAAAAAGAAAATCGAGGAAGAAAAGATTAGGGTTTGAACAAATAGGAAAAGAAGAATATTTTCTGCAGAGTTTCTCTCTGCTCTAAAACTTATGATTTTTTATGCAACCGCAAGTGATTACAAAAATAGGGGTTACTCTCTCTATTTATAGTTTTAGGTTAGCTTGCTCCCTAAGCCAAAACTCAAAACTACAAAAGCCCCAAATACCTATGTATTCCTAAGTCGAAATCCTATGTCGAGGCTACCTCCTTCGTCACTTCGTCTACTAAAAAACTTGACACACACACAACAACAATAATAACAACAACAATTTCGACATACACATAGTTTTGGCAGAGAAATACATTCTTAACACACCACCTAATTCATTTCATCTAAACTATCTACATTCATCATTGCTCTTAGTCTTCTGAATATTTTGACCTGCGCGCCTTGTTAGACAATGGCAATTTATCTAGAAGGGGGGGGGGGGTTGATTAGATCCCCAAACAAATTTTAGTATTTAAAAATTTATTTTGAAGTTAAAACAAAAACTATGGCAAGCGAAAGATTAAGCCTAGATCGAACAAGTCATCTAAACTAAACAGACTATTGGAAACTCGGATATGTGTAAACCATGGAATAAAATCAAATATAATGATAAACCTTAATACAATAATTTCGCAATCAATTATTTTATAATGAACATAATCCTTAACTAATTTCCAATGGAATTATTGATAAAGCTGAAACAAGCAAATTATCGAACATTTAGCGTGAAAATGATTTTTCATATTTTCCTTTTGACTTTGTTGATAAGAAATACCACTTACAATCAAATTGATTGTAATGTAATTAACAAAGAAATGTTTAAAAATCAAAGGAAATGTCTATACGAATCGATTACACAATCAACGAGTTGAGTAATTTACTATATAATTCACCAATTTCACCAATCAATGATTTGTTTAGGCAGTTCACCAATCTTCCTTGCTATGCCTACGTCTGCCCCAAATTTCATTTGGAATTGAGATAAGAATTCTTACTATGAAAAAATTCGTTTACAGGAGAAATATAGCAATCCCACTCTACAAATCTTATGTTTGATATTGATCCCAAAACTTTCTCTTCCCTTGATCTAAGTTGAATAAAGTCACCCAACAAGACCAATATGATTCATCGTCTCATGCTACTTCTTTGAAAGAACAACCATTCTTAAAAGTCTTTACTCGGTCGAATCTAAATTGCAAACTGTTATCACTTAAGATTTCCAATTGATTCACCATCTCACACTACTCCTTTGCAAGAACCTCCCATTTTTTAAAGCTCTTCACTCGATCGAATCTGAATTGAAAAATCTTGTCAAAATACCAAAATCAATCACTATGATCTTGGAGGAAAACCCTCCCAGTTTTTTTGATAAAACCCCAAAAATTCTCAACCCAATCTTAGGTTACACCAACCTAAATTGAACGTTATCAACACAAGTCTAGATGACACCCAAACAATGAATGATTATGTGTACTTTGTTTGTGTTTATGTGTTGTACCCCAAAATTTTCCCTCTCATTTCATCAATATTTTCTCACCATAAGACCCTTGGAGCTTAAGATCAAGTTAGGGTTTGCTCTGCTCAAGACTCCTCCTTGCACTATTGACCCAAATTAGGGTTTGAGTTTGCACAAAGATGTTTTGACTTAAAATGACCAAAGTGACTTTCATGCCTCATGTTGGACTCACAAGTTTATCCATACCAAGTTTCAAGCCTTGATTCCAATCTTTGCCCAGTCAATTGGACAGTTGACCTAAAAATTAGCTGTATTGGGAAAAAGTCAACTGTGGCCAATTGACAGTCAAACCTCATGATTTTTGACCCACATCAATATTATGAACTCATATGAACCATTTGGTCAAGTTGGGATCACAATTCCACAAGAAATTTGATCAGATCACCAAAAGGGCAAAATGGTCATTTTTAGGGTTTTGACTGCACAAAGGCAATTTTTGACTGTTTGACCTAGCCAATGGCAAACCAAGCTCACATATGGACTCAAGGAATCAATGGAATGGTCTTGACACATTCAACAAGTTCAAAAGGTCCCAAATGCACAAGATTGACAGATGAATTTTCCAGTCAACTGATCAAAATTTGACTGTATACTGAAAAGTCAAACTTTGACTTTTTGGTCAAAATCAAGTGCCAAGATTCACTTTTCATCAAGACATGTCAAATTATGAAACTTGTTCATCAAGAAACCCAAATTTGCAAATTAGGGTTTAAAATGAGAAAATTTCATAACTTAGAATTTTTCTAAGTTATGAAACTTCCTTATTTTTTTCCTAACTTTGTCCCATTTTTTCATCAAGATACATTTGGATTCAAACAAAACTCAAAACATGAAAGTTGTAGTCCATTGAAAAATCTACAACTTTGATTCACAAAGTTTCCTCAAAAGAAGCTTGTGGCTCAAGTTATAATTTTTGGAATAAGGGTGCAAAACATTCTTAACTTAGAAAAATTTTGACCTATTCTAGGCAGGATTTTTGCCCAACTTCATAGCCACTTTTCACATGGTTCCACTTGGAATTTCAATTTGCATTACAAAGATGGATTGTATTAGACATTCCAAGCTTTCCAAATTGTCCAAGAACTTCTCAAACACCCTTGTGGTTAGGGAGAATCGAATTTGCAAAGATGGGCAAAAGTCACATTGTTCATAGCCAAATACATGTTCATAACATTGCCATTTTCAAGTCAGCATGGTTCAAGCTAGATTACAGGCCTCTAATCCTTTTCACACTCAATAATTAAATGCCAAACCATTGTGCCAAGATGTTATTTTGTTCATTTGGTCATTACATGCAAGATTAATCCATATTTAGAAAAAGCAATTTTG